ATAAACTTAGCAAACATTTGAATGCTTGCGTATGTAACACACTGAGTGGAAGATAAAGCTGGAAAGGTGGTTTAATTTAAAGAATCCTGCCCTTGGTGAAGCCTTGGAGTGCAAGTATTAAGCACAGTGTGGGGGAAGTCCAAGCCCACACGACCAATGAATACCAGTCCAGGTGGTTGAACACACCAGGTATATGTATGTGCCCAAAACCCTGAGGATGGAGAAATGGAGAAGGAATTGTGATGTGACCATACCCCACTGGAAGGTACTTTTTTTCCCTCTCTGGTGAGTACACATGCCCTCTACAATTTAAAAAAAAAAAAAAAAAAAAAAAAAAAAGGGCCAGCACGTGGCAGGGCAGTTAAGGGCACTGAATTCCCACATGGCCCACTGCAGTTCAAGTCCCAGACCTGGCATCTTGCTTTCTCACTTTTCCTCTCTCTCTTGCTCTCGCTCTGTGCCTCCCTGGTCAAATTAAAATAAGTAAATAAAGTTAAATAAAATAATTCTTTTTAAAAAATGTATGCAATTTTGACCACATTACAACTAATCCTCAGCTTCTTCATCTGAAAATGAGAGTGATACTATGAGCAATTCTACTTGATTGGATTCTGTGAAGGATGAAGATGATATAAAACTGGAGAGTTCGAAGTTACAAAACACAAAACAAGTAGCAATATAAATACTACTATCTACTACCATGGTGGATACAAAGCTGTTTAATATTTCATCCACACTTTCAAAGAACTTACAACCTATCCAAAACTATCAACGGAACAGCTGACATTGGATCCTATCGAGTCAACCAGTGGTTTCCAAAATAAGATAAATCCACCAGAGGGCTGGGAGGTGGCACAGTACAGACACAGCTGGACCCACAGGGGAATGTCCTACATCTGTGTTTCAGGACTTTCCTGAGACCCTTGGTTCCTGTGTGCCCATGTCAGGGCCAGCTAAGACTGGGAGTGGATCACAGCATGGAGAGTCTGTTGGGTGTGTGTGTCTGTCTCTCTCAGACTAAATAAATAAACTTAAAAAGGATCCACTGGAATATTGGGAAGAAAGTATAATTTCTATTTATATTTGTAATATCAAAATAAAACTGAAAACCAACTTCTACTATTAGTTAATATACAAAGCAACATGAATGCCCCATTCAGCTCCAATATCAGATAAATATCTACAACATGGATGGACACAACTTATTCCCTTTTTCATAAGCCAGCTTAAACTGAGAAGCATCTCATCTAATGTATTCTATCTAACCTTGAAAGAATGAATCAGAGGCTTCAAATACATTTGCAAAGAAACCAGAATTTTCAGATAGTAATGATGCAAACAGAAGAAAATGACCCAACATACATTTGCCTTATTCTTAGTAGGAGTTCGGTTAGCTATGTTAAAGGACAGTTTTGAAAACAGGTGTTTGAAGTGGTTCCACTGCTGCAGTGTTTACTGTTTGATTCTACTTACCAATAAAGCAAAAGTTTCCATTAAAATTTATCTATTAAATTATGATTATACCTAATACCAGGAGGAATTGTTCTAAACTCTTCTAAAGCTCTGCTACTGCCCTGTTTTTAACAAAAATGTGTGACTATGCTGAACTGTTTATTAAAACACACATTAGAAGATGTTTTAGAATGTGAAAAAATCTGAAGTCATGAAAATTACTTCTTGGTAACAGTGACCCTATCATTGCTTTTGGCAACAGAATCATCATAATATGGCATATCTTACATTGTTTTCAAATGATACAATGAAATGTACGGGGCTACTTCAAAAAGTTTGTGGATAATAGAAGTAAAATATTAGTTTACTTCATCGCAAAGAATTTTGAAATCTTTGCAGGTTTTTCATCATACCCATTTTCCATGTTGAAGACCTCTCATTCTCTGCTACAGCACAGTTCTGTGACATTCATAAATCAAAATACCGGTCCATATTTCATAAGAAGCATTAGTATTTGATATGTTCATATCATTTTAAAACTGTATTTCTACGTACAGTAGAATACATAGTTAGCAATTTGGAAATCTAAGTCTAACCCAGCAAGATGACTGACCCTTTCAGGAAAGGATCTTGCATGAAGTGGAATGATTTAATGAAAAACCATAAACACAGAGATATTATATTACAGCAAGATGGAAAACAAAGGTTTATTCAGTTTTTTTGACTTGTCTATACTATAATATCTACCTAAGTACAAATGAACCACTTTTACTGGCTGTCACTTGTATAGTATGGACTTCATTAAATAGTATTTAATGGTAAAAGTCATTAAATGGTAAACAAACAAGAGAAAATTATATTTTCAAACCTATCCAAGAGTATAATTTCTGAGAAAATAACCAACTTTCCTATGTTAGTTCCAAGGACTAGGTCTAGTTTTCTGCCTGCTAACTTTAAAAGTCAAATTTTAATGAACTGCCCAACTATCAGAAAATTTTTACAGTGGTTACAACCAAATAACTTTCAGTCTTTCACTGAAAGAATTGACACATTTACATGTGAAAATGAAAGGTTATAAATTCATTTATTCCCAGTGCTGAAATAATGGTCAATTTAAACCAAAGTATACATTTCATAATTACCTAAGAATTTATCAATTAACCAAGCAGACAAAATCCCTGGGCTCGTTCATTTATTAGAACGCCTCAAAACCCTTTTTTTTTTTTTTTTTTTTTTAGAGGTTTTGCTAAGGGCATATGCGCTCAGCATAAAGATAGAGGGAGAGAGACAGAGAGACAGAAAGCGAGAAATCACCCCCCCAGGGGGGGTGGCCATGCCACAGTCCCTTCTCCTCCATTCTCCTCTCAGGATCTTGGGCATGCATGCACACGTACCCGGTGTGGTTTAAACCACCGGGTCCAGGACTAGAACCGCGGTCGACTACATGGGAGTCCAGTGACATAGCCATTACGCTAACTGCTGATCACATAAACTCTTAACTGTGAGGTTGGAAGAAAAATCTGAAGTCATCTAATCCACTCCTTAGCTTATGCTTCTTACTAGAGGCAGGCAGGGTACAACCTGCAGCATCCGGGCTAATTCAAATCACTTGGGGACTCTCTGCAGCCACAGCTTAGTTTCCCTTGACAGCTAATTTAGTTTTAGTAGTTCTGAAAGTTACAATGTCACTGTTTTTAACTTTCTGAGCCCTATCTTGGCCTCTGTAAGCTTGTAGAAGGAGTGTAACATAAATAAATAAATAGAAGGGGATTTAAAAGTCTAATGTCTTTGTCACTAAATCATTTAACAAATATGGCCTCAGAGTCTACCATAGCCTCTAAGGACACAAAGTAACTATGTATCCAGAGCACAATAAAACCACACAACCACAGGTCACTCCATTTTCTTTCTTTTACAAATATTTATTGAAGGCCCATTTGCCATGTATTGTGCTGTACACAGGGAACACAATGGTTAATAATACAGAGTTGACCCCTTCCCTAATGATGTTTAAAGACCAAAGGGGAAGACAGTCAGGCAATTATTACAGAGGATCTTAAGCATTATTATATTGTGGGGCTTCCTAACACATATGTCTGCAATCTTCTTTCTGCTATGTCTTCTCTTCCACAATCCAAACATTTAAATAAGAATTACAGCAGAAAACAAACAGCCTTTTGTAGTACATATAGGTCAGTTTGGAAGTACATATTTTCATCCTGAAAATAAGTTGGAAAATATATAATATACAGTGTTTTTAGAACTCAGGAGGCAGGTCACCTGATGATATTTTTTAGAGCAGAGAATCAAAAAATAAATATAGCACTCTTGCTTATTTGTGTTTTTGGAATCCTAAAAATTCTTTGTAAGCTGGTATTTCTTGTGTCCACGCACCTGTAAACTTCTGTGTGCATTAGGTGTTGCAGATATACAGGGAGATATACAGATTTTTATTCTGAAAGAAGATGAAGACATGCTTTCCAATCATCACATTACAGCAGTATGAAACCAGAGTTTCCTGCAAAGTGGAATGCGACCAACGTAATGGCTGCCCTCCCACTCATGGAGTGAACTGGGGAGGGTTTCGCTGAGGAGGTAGCATCGAGGTCCTGAGTGATCAATTTATTAGGCCCAGTGGTATGATGGAAGAGAAGTATTCAGGTAGGAGCAGTTGCCTGTACTGTAACTTCATCTTTATGAGTTGTACCTTCCCCAAACAGCAGACCAGTGCTTCTCGGGTGGTATAAAAAGTCATCCGAATCGATAAAGTAGTAATGACAAACTGCTATCTAGAGAAAGATGCTTCTATTCAAGCAGAGATGCAGGACAACAGTCCTCCAAGGTGATCTGGATTAGGGGCAGCCCCACGCTGTAGGTTTCCCAAGGCTGATGTAAAGCGACTGTAAACCAAGTAAGGTTGTGTAGCGAGAAAGAGCTCCAAGTCAGCCATCAATGGGAACAATAGTGTGGGGGAGAGACGGCAGTTTGGCAAGGGCACTTAATATGTATGTGTAGTTTACAAAGCTCTTGCTCCAACTTCTAAAACTACAAAGGGAAGGAGAGAGTACATTTTTGTCTTAAAGAAATGAAGGGGGGGAACCAGCAGTTAGCATAATGGCTATGTCGCTGGACTCCCACATAGTCGACCGCGGTTCGCATCCCGGACCCGGTGGCTTAAAACTCACGCCGGGCGCGTGTGTGTGCGTGCCCAAGATCCTGAGAGGAGAATGGAGGAGAAGGGCATGACCATCCCCCCTGGCGGGTGATTTCTCACTTTCTGTCTCTATGTCTCTGTCTGTCTGGCGAGCGTACACGCTCTATAGTGAAAAACCTCTCCAAAAAAACAAAAAAAATGAAGGGACCCTGGTTTAGGTAAGAAAGTGAGTAGCCTCCTTGGCAAAGAAACCTAAGCTTCAAAGCAGTTCTAGTTATGACTTCAAAAGTCAGAGAAACACATAGTCTTTTCCAACATGCATGGTCCTAATAGACTGGAATTCACCAGAAAATCTACCAAGTGTAAGTCTAACTACACTTCTTCTTTTAATAAGTGGAATTTATTCTTTCTTTTTCTTTGATTCTTTAGCCCTAAGGAAGTCCTCAAGGCTTTAAAGACTTGGTCTGGTCATTTTAAAGTTAGATACTGAGTAAGCTTAAACACCTAAGGGACTAATTTTCTCTATTATGAAAGGACACTAGTAATATCTACAGGGTTTTTGTAATGCAAAATTTTACTAGCACAAAGCTGGAGCCTACTTAGAAAAAAATCAACACTCATTAACTAGACCATCTTTCTGGCCAGACATACTGCGAAAAGATCTCTCTGGCAGTCTGGCTTATCTGAGACAGGCCCTCCACCAGATCATCTTACTTCCCCTAACTTATATCTGTGCATCTCGAGAGATCCTGAAGCTTTACTTTCTCTTACCATAGGCTCTGGGGTTACTCAAGATAATTAGAGACCAGGAACGCACCCAGGGAGAGAAATTAAACTGTGACTATAACAACATCCAAAGATCTAATCTTGATCAGTTTGGAAAAATCATTCAATTTTTGAAGTGTATTCAAAAATGAAAAACAAAAAAAGAGTTAATGGGTTACATGTGTTCCTTGTATTAAAAAGTTGAAGACTGAAGCCACCCCAGACTTCATCTCTTCCAGGTATCTTTTCCTCTGTCTCGTGTAGTCTCTGTCACATTCCAAAAGGGCGGTTAGCTGCTTTCCAAGGAAATGATCAGGAGCACAGCCGCCTTGGAGGTAGGTCACCAGGACTCCTCTGCATTCTACATGCAAATAGACTCCAGAAGGGACTAAGAGCTGCCAGAGGCCTCTGCTAGCTGCTAGAGGCAGGTCCACTGCTGCAGGCTCCTCTGCCTCTTAGCCCCAGCGTGTTCTTGGCTGTGGTTTTACAAGAGCCTCTCAAAGGATGCTCTATGTAATAACTACAAGACAATAAAAACTAGGGTTATAAGCCAGCAAGGATCATGCTGTCTTTTAATACTACTCGATCATATTCATTTTTCTTAAAAAAAAAAAAATACCACTAATATTTGAGATCCTGGTATTTTTAATGCTTCTTAAGACATTCCCCAAAAGCCGCCATTCTCAAGCTGAACGTTAAAGCGACATGCGCACAGCCAACATGCTTACCAAGCACATGCATCTCAGAGTAACTGATGGTATAAACCTGATGTAACTGACATGTTCTTAAGGAACAGGCTAAATTCTAGCAATGCAGGTGCATTAATTTATACCCCTTACTAATTCTCAATGCAGGCTTAGTGCTTCTGGGATCCTGTATGTCTAAGTACTAGGTTAGTTCCCACGTGCACAACAGGTATCAGTCTACTACCTCTTCTACTTGGGGGTGGGGAGGTTGTCTCCCTAAGAAAGAGGAAGAGTAACAAGGCTTAGGACAGAATTTCATGAACTGCATTCTGAAAGTACCTCAATTTTTTGGTGGGGAAAATATAGTGAACCACCAGGGCTAGGATTCAAACCCTAGTCAGCCATGTGGGATCAACCTCCCTTAACCACCAGGTTATGGGGCTGGCCTTCAACTTTACCCTCTAATGACTCATTTTTACATTAGGTTTTAGACAACCAAATGTATTTAGTGCAAATGATGATTTAAACATTACATTCAATAATCTGAAAGTGAAAGGAATGAAGAGTGAAAAAGAGCCTCTTCTTTCTAGTCAATATTCTGTTTTGGGTAGAGGCAAGTTTTACAACGATGAGTAAAAGGGGCTAACAGGTGGCACAGCTAAGTGATGCCTCTGCAAGGCTGACCTACCACATGAGAAGGTTCTGGGTTTGCATCTGTAGCTCTTCTTGAGTATGCCAGGTTGGAAGGGGGTGGACAGAGGCATCCAGACCCTATTGGGATACTGTCTCTCATCTCTCTCTCACTTATAGAAAAAATAAATATGTAGACCCTAAAAAAAATGTAAAATGATGGTCAATGTCTCACAGGGATAAGTGAACGGTTTGTCAATTTCCCTAACCTTGTTCTACTGGACAGCAAACCTAAAATGCCAGCCTCACACTGTTCTTCCTTAAGGCAGTCTTTTCAAGCAAAGAATAAGCAACCTGAGGCAGCATAGCTACTTCAAGAATGTGCACTGGGACCAGCAGTTAGCATAATGGCTATGTCACTGGACTCCCATGTAGCCAACTACAGTTCGAGTCCCGGACCTGGTGGCTTAAACTCACACCAGGTGCATGTGCGTGTGTACCCAGGATCCTGAGAGGAGAATAGAGGAGAAGGGATTGTGGCGTGGCCATCCCTCCTGGGGGGTGATTTCTCACTTTCTATCTCTCTGTCTCTCTGGCGAACACATGCGCCCTATAGCAAAAACCTCTTTAAAAAATGTGCACTGAACTTGAGTCTACCGTCTTTCCACTTTACCTTTGTGGGTTCACAGGTACTTACGTTACGACTGTCATTCATGGTACAGCTAACTTGACGCATGCAGACACTAAAGTGGAAAATCACTCCCATAAAATGATGCAGGCAAGTGAGAAACAGCAGATAAGCAGGCTCAAGCAAGAAGTCTTTAAGAAAACCATAATCTTGCCAGTCTCCCTCTCTCTGATGAATGAAAAGGCATTCATTTGCAAAGGCACCAGAAAGGTGGAAAGCTTGCTTTGAATAAGAAAAAAAATTCAACAGAGCTCACCCAGTTTGTTCCTCAGATGTGGCAAATCATATATCCCCACAGTTCCCAGCTGCATGAACAACTGACTGACAAAATCAGTGACATCCTACAAAGAGTTTACAATGGCAAACTGAATCATAATGTTGAGATGAAACACCATCATGAATGTAGACATGATATAGTTAGGCAAGCATTACGCGCTAAACGTCTGATACTCTCCGTCAATTGAAACACTCCAGCAAGCTCCAAGTGGTTTTTTAAAAACACAAAACAAACCCCCCACAAAATCCTGAACTTGATATATTGAGTGTTTGTTTGAAAAGTACAACTATCTCAATAATAACTCTTCTAAAATTGTTATATCTTAAAAAATGAACCTGAAAGGTACAGTGGGAAAATGGCACAAATTACAAACCCTTTATTTTAGAAACGCAACTGACATTTCTGGCTGTTGTGACGAACTTAATACTGTAAGCCACTAGCACACAAAATGGACAATTCAATTTTCTGGTATGGATTTGTTGTTGTATTGTTTTGAGCAAGAAACCCGCTGTAGAAACACTTTGGGCAGGTGGCGTGGTAGTTAAGTGTGTTGTACTCCCACATGGCTGTGATTCAAGTCCCGGATCTGGTGGCTTGCTTTCTCATTTTCCCTCTCTCTGTCCCTCTCTAGTCAGATTTAAATAAATAAATAAAGTTTAAAAAAAAATCACTTTGGATAGTATTTTTCAGTAGTTCTGTTAAGATTTAGAGGGTCTCAAATAAGATTAAGAAAATTAAGAGAGGTCAATTAGAAATCAATGAGATTTGTTTAACTATCATCAGACAAAAGTTTCAGCATTAATGAGTCTAATTTTCCTTCTATGTATTTTCCTCACTTTTCAAATTAAAATCTGAGTTCCTTCTCTACTGTTCCCCTTTCCAGTCAATTTCTTTTACCACCTCAGAGAAAGTGAAATGATAAGTGGTAAAATGTATGAAAACCTTTGCAACTTGAGGGCTTGAACTTAAGTTTGCTTCATTCACTTCCTTCTTCTGGGCCCTCTGGTAATGAGGACGCTATAGAAAAGCTCTATGCATGCTTGTCATAAAAATGAACAAAGTACATAAATGCATGAAGAAAAATATAATCATTTATCCCCCATCACATAAAGTCAGTCATAATTATCCATTTTTATATTCCATTTTGTTTTATCCCAGTGTTTTTTATAAGAGGTTGGAAACTTTTAACATGCAGGTACTCTTGTTTTCCATTTATGAGAGAGAGAGGAAGTGAAAGACAGAGCTAGGTTTTGTTTTTTTTTTTTTCAAAGACATTTTTGCTATGGGGTGCATGTGCTTGCCGTAGAGATAGAGAGACAGAAAGTAAGAAATCACCCCACAGGGATGGCCATACTGTAATCCCTTCTCTGTTCTCTCAGGCTCTTGGGCACTCAAGCACGCCCCTGGCGAGTTTCAAGTGGCCGGGTCCGGGACTCAATCTGCGGTTGACTTGGTAGTCCAACGATGTAACTGTTATGCCATTTGTTGGTCCCAGAGCTAGGTATTTTTGACATTTTTACTATCTCATGCTCTTTCTGCCCTAGCCTTCTAAGTAAGGTTATGTGATCCACAACTACAACCACAGTGTTCAGCTGGCTCTGGAAATTGAACCAGTGTCTCCCATGCCTTCAGCCTCCCAGGTCTGGTGCTACGTGTGCACCTCCAGGGCTGGGACTGCAGGTATTTGTAAGAGGTGCACATCTGCTGGAGTGCACCAAGACTAAGCAAAAGATAAATGCTATTAAAACCTGATAATCTGGGGACAGCAGGTGGCATAGTGGCTAAGGCACTGGACTCCCACATGGCAAACCATGGTTCAAGCCCTGGACCCAGCAGCTTGAAAATCACTCCCGGTGTGTGTGTGTGTGTGTGGTTGTGTGTGGGTATGTGTGTATGTGTGTATGTGTGTGTGTACCCAGAATCCCAAGAAGAGGATGGAGAAGGAATTGCAGCACGGCCATCACCCCTAGAGGGTGGTTTCTCACTTTCCCTTTCTGCTCTCCCTGCTGAGTGCATGTACCCTATGGCCTACAAAGTGGCCAGCAGAGAATATGAAGGGGTTTTTAAAACTGTGGGAAAAAATAGAATTAAAGCTCAAGTGTATGTTGGTACAAAAATAAATAAATACAACCCAGGCAGTATTTTTACAATATACACATGTTCCATGAACTTTCTGAAAACCTCTCCCATTGTCTTTTGTTTTGGCCATCACAGTATTTTAAAGGAAAACTGAATGTCTCTGAGTTTCCATTTTCTCATAGGCCTAATCACTCCTTATTGTTTGACATAAGTTGTTGCAAATCCTTACAAATGGGCCATAAATTTATACCAGTCTTTTACCCCTGTAAGTGTTCAGATAGGTAATGGAATGCCTGAAGGAAGTTGAATAAGATATCTTTTAAAAATATTATACACCCAGAGCTTCCTGCCAATTCAAACTATACAAAAACTTTATGTCAAGATTTATGTTTTTCTGAGATTTATCTAACTTGAAGTCACATGCTAAAAAACGTACACTACCCCTATTCCATTCCTAATTTTTCAAGCAGTTAAAACAAGGTCAAAAAGGGCTTAAGAACTCCAAATCATGAAAAATGCTCATCTTTGAGAGAGGCCTGAATAAAAAAAATGTTTTAATCACCAGTGTACATATTCACTAGCGAAAGACAGAGAAAAAGAAAGTACCCTCCAATGGGGCATGTTTGTGTTACAATCCTTTTTCCTCTGTTTCCCCATCCCGTTAGGATTTGGGACACACACACACATGCACCCAGCGTTATTTTTCAAACCGCCAGAGCTGGGATTTGAATCACAGTTGACCATAGTGGTTCTGGTTTTGTACACAAAGCAATTAACTTCTGCACTACAGATCCAGTCTTAAGTAAAATTTAATAAAGCAAGTCCCTAGAAATAGCTTGCTGCAATTACTTCAAAGTTGGAACACTAGGCCAGATGGTGGTGTGATGGTAAAACACGATGTTCTGGGAGGGACCCACATGGGAGGTTCCATGTTTGCACCTGTGGACTTCCCTGAAGTGTGCTGGGCATGCATCTGGCATCTGCCCATGACCTGAGGGTGACTGACGAGGGGTGCTGGGCATGCATCTGGCATCTGCCCATGACTAGGGGTGGTGGCAGCTTCAAAAGTCTGTGTAGAGTACTGTGTCTGTTTCTCTGGCTCATGGAAGAAATAAATAAAAGCAAAAGGGATGAGAAAGCTCTGCCTGTCTGGTTGAGCTACAAGATGCTTAAGGGAGCAGAAGATTGAACAGGAGCATTAACAGAATACCCTACATTAATTACCTTCTCAACAAACTCTAGTAGGAACAATGATAGAAACAAAGTTATGAAAGTACACCTGAAGAGGGTATAAGAAGGTAGATGGTAGGGGCCAGTATAAGTCTGCAGAGAATCCGGAAATCCCACTGCTTTGTAGAATAACACAGAGAATAAAGATGGCAAATGTACATAGCAAAAATGTATGTTTCTATAAGAGCTGTAGGTAGGCAGTGTTGCAGTTTACATAAGACACTTAAAATTGAATAGCAAATACTACACAGGCTTTGAGGATTCCTCATTTTTAAAAATACTTTTTAATTTAAAGGATACTTTCTAGTCTCTAGGAAAAACATTTGTGTGCTTTACTCATTGAAAAGGCTTGTATTTTTCTTCTACATCTTTCCCAATATGGTTTCCCAACATGCTCTAGGATATACCCTAACACCTGTGATAAAATCCCATGAAAATTTTCTGTCAACTGCCACCAGAAGTTCTTGGCTTTCCAATCATCTAAAGTGAACTCCACCCTATCATTTTCCATACATTTGTAAACTCTACTTCCTGCAGTTGGATTTGCAGAATAATATGGCATTTTGTCAATTGGGAAACTATGTTTCTCTGGAACTATTTGATTGTGTTAATAGAAAATTTTAAATAAGTCTATTGTGTATGTTCTACACTGTCTAACGAAATTATGCTCCTTATCTTAAGACTTAACTACTTACCAATGAGAGTTGATTTTCCTGCAGGAAAAGAAAATATGACTCTGATAACGGTTCTGTCAAATGGGTACTTGATAAAATATTCTAAAATTAGTAGGGTGAGAACACTCCTCATATTGTTATTCCTAATGAGAGAAAACTCATGACCAATGTCATCCAGAAGCATAAGATGAGGCAGGGTTCTACCCTACCAGGGTGTATGTATTGACTCTTCCATGTATACTTGGGAACATACGTGACTTTGTCTTCAAAAAGTAGTTTCTATTGATTTCATGTGATTAAGGTCCTGAGGCTTGCATGTGATTTAAAAAAAAAAAAAGTAGTATACCAAATTTTCATTCAAATACCAGCTATTGTTTTTATCCTCACCAGCTCTAGACTCCTATTTAAACTGAGAATAAACTGATGAAAAATATTAAGAGGGAAACTGCCTATGCCTATTTCTGAGTATTACCTATCTGGTAATGCAAGTGATTCTAGAACTTTCCCTGTTAGCTTTGCTAATTCTGCAAAGTGGAAGAATAAAAAGTTTTCTAAGTCCAACAGGTTCACTATTTATTCATCTATTTTTATTCTCCATCTCCCACGTAAGTTAATAATTTATTCATCTTATTTCCCATCTGAATTCTACTCTATCCATTCATTTTCATTTGTTAACAAATACCAACTAAGTGGCTATTATGTGTTAAACAAGAAGATGAAAAGGAAGGCAACAATGACAGGAAATTATGCACAAGGCTTGCACAGTAACAACTGCCTTGAATATCTTTCTTTGTGCACTAATTCCATAGTTAACTGATTCTTAAACTAAAGGTAAGGAGTGTTTAAAGGAATGTGAAAGAATAACTATTAAGAGGTCTTTAAAATTCTGGCTCACCAATATGTAGACCAATAATTGTGTTCAGGTTGGACATGCCTATCACATATCCATTACAATTTTTATAATCATAGATACCGTTATGAAAAATGCATAGTAGCTGGAAGTGATATTATAAATACTTAACAATTCATCACGTATGGGCTTAAGTAATTAAATGGACCATCAACAGCCAGCATGAACAGACTACCTAGTCTAGTTGAAGAGAAGAAACTTTTTCCTCCCCTTTTTTTCTTCTCCTTCATTTTTTAATGGGGTCCTCATTTTATTTATTTTCAGGTTTTTGGTTTGCGTGTTTTGCCATAGGGCGCATGTGCTCACTGGAGGGAGACAGAGAGGGAAAGTGAGAAATCACCTTCTGGGAGGAATGGCCATGTCACAATCCCTTCTCCTCTATTCTCCTCCTAGAATTTTGGGCACAGACTCACATGTGCCCGGCATGAGTTTCAAGTTGTCAGGTCTGAAACTTGAGCTGTGGTCAGCCGTGTGGGAATTCAGCACTACACTACCTGCTGGCCCCTGGAGTCCTTATTTTAAAAACTGTTCAGAATTATTCAAGAAATACAGTAGGGCCAGCAGATGACATGGTGGTTAGTGCACTGACCTCCCATATGGCTGACAACATTTCAAGTCCTGGATCTAGCTGCTTGAAAATCACACCAGGCATGTGTGCGTACTTGCCCAAAATCCTGAGAGGAGAATGGAGGAAAAGGGATTGTAGTACGGACATCTCCACTGGGGGGGTGATTTTTCACTTTCTCTACCACTGTCTCTGTCTCTCTCCAGTGAGCACACACCCCCTAAGACAAAAACCTAAGTAAAGAAATACAGTTGGCTCAAATGGTAACCATCTGACAGTCACGATATGAAGTATACTGTATATGATAACATATATCATCACAACTCACAGAAGAAACCACACTAATTTAAAAGTGAGGCCTTTGTTGGTACGTTGTCTTTTCTAACTTTAACAGACTCATTTCTGACTTTCCCACAAATCTCTATAACTGGTCAATGCTTACCAGATGCTCCAAAGACAACAAACACTTTCCCATGAAAAAGTCCATCTTTGGCAAACTCTATGCTTAATGAGAAACAGCTACCTTCAGGATTAAGGGTTCAATTTATTTGATCATTTAATACTCAGCTTACAGGAAAAGTTCCAACTTCAGAAGAAAACTGCAGTGTGTGCAGAACTATAATAATTGAGAATGCGTCTGCCATTGGAAGTGGTGAGCTATGGCTGGGCTACCTTTTAATTGGCCTTGGCAGAACTCCTATACTCTTTGTCTTAAAATAGTCAAATAAGTTACTCATTTTAATATATTTAGTACATTATATTACACTAATAGGTCACTTAAATCATTCTCTCAGAGCCAGCAAGTAATAATAAGGATAGGGTAACTCCAGGAAAACAAAATGTATACTCTCCACATTTTTCCTACAGATTGAGTATGAAGGCAAATGACGAAGACAACATTCAGAAACAAAGATGTAGTAATAAAACAAATGAAGAATTTAGTCATACTTATTGAAATGTAAACTTAGAGTGGATTCTACATATGTAAGCACAGATCTGTTTTTTTCCCCCCTATACCTACTGAAATCCTAAGTATAAAGGAAGTGGCAAAATTATACCATCTGACTTCGCTTGTGAACAGTGTTATCAGTTCTGGAAGGGTTTTTTTTGTTTCATTTTGCTTTTTTAAGCAAAGTCTGGCAATGTTGTCATCTTTCTCCTCCTCGCTCAGCCACCCAGCTGGGGCTCTAGACATACTAGATCACATCACGTTTAAATTATTTCCAAACAAGCTCTCCTAGTGTTGCCCCATCCAGCTTCCAGTTTATAATCCTTCTTCCTCAGCCTCCTCGGATCACTGGGATTTAGAGGAATACGCCACTGTTTCCCACCCATAAATTGGACCAGAAACTGAACCTAAGTTTCCCATGTGGTGTGGTTCCAGTCTGGTTATTTTTTAATCTAAAATTAAAATTCTGAGGGTCTCCTAATCTGAAGAGGCTTGAGATAGCAAATCACTGAAAATAGAGTTTCCAACAAAACTAACCTTGAAAAAGGCAAACCACTTGTAGTCATTCAATATAACCTCAAAGCCTTGGTTGTAAATGATAGTGAAATGACCAGAATTGCCAAAGTCATCAAATGCCGTATCCATCTTCTGAAGGTGCACCACTACTTTTTTTTCTGGTGGTCCTAAAGAAAAGAAAAAATACACAGTAAGGAAAAATTATGTGGATTTCAATGGAGTAAAGAATCTCCTTTATTTTTTCAAGCTGCCTTTCTTTTTCCCCCCAGACTACCTAATTTGAGCCCAGTCTGTCCTGTAGAGAAACTCGAGTCCCAGGGCATCTCTGTAACCTGGTGGTTACAGGAGCAGATCTCACATGGCTGACCAGTTTGAATTCCAGCCTCAGTGGGTTGAAAGAAATACTGGGTGTATATGCATGCCCCAAATCCTGACAGGTTGGAGAAATGGAGGAGGGTTCACAGCATGACCAAACTCCATTAAGGCATTCTCTCTCTCACCCTCCCTTCCTCTCCACTTCTCCTGTGAGCACATATGCTCTCTGGAAATTAAAAAGGAAAGGAAGGGAACCAGCAGTTAGAGTAATGGCTATGTCACTGGACTCCCACGTAGTCGACCGCAGTTCGTGTCCTGGACCCGGTGGCTTAAAACTCACACCGGGCGCGTGTGCATACGTGCCCAAGATCCCGAAAGGAGAATGGAGGAGAGGGGATTGCGATTGCGGCGTGACCATCCCCCCTGGGGGGTGATTTCTCGCTTTCTGTCTCTATGTCTCTCTCTGTCTGTCTGGCAAGCGTATGCGCCCTATAACAAAACCTCTCCAAATAATAAAAAAAGGAAAAGAAAAAAAGCCCGAGTCTCCAACTTATTGTCTCTGCCTTTGGTCCTGGAGGGCTCTCAAAGACAGATATGGCATAAATCCCAGCAGGCTTAGAGACCCCTAAAGAATAGTCTCCACATTCCCAGAGCATCCAAACACAGAAGAAATCTTTCACTTAAGAAAATGGGGGGCACAGCCGGTACAGTGGTGGTTAAGGCAGCTGGATCCCCATGGCCAACTGCACAGTTCAGTCTCAGGCCTGGTGTCTTGATAGCAACACCTCTTGGCAGGTGTGTGTGCTCACAATTTCAAAAGAATGAAGAGACTGAGAAGAAAGAATCCTGGCATGACCATTCCCTGAGGGGGTTGCTTTCTCACTTTCCTGTCTGTCTCTCCAATGAGGGCACATGCCCTGTGGCAAATTTTTAAAAAAGAAAATGAGGAATGAGGGAAGTTGGAAATTACAGACACAAATGAGACAAAGTGGCAGTCAAAAAAGTGAGAACTATAAAACAAAGGCTGTGATGGGGAGACAAAAGAAGAGTCAGAAGGCCATGAGGAGGACAATGTGTGAATCCCGGGAGACAGGAAATGATCGGTTCTGAGAAGTAGAATGGAGGCTTCTCCTCAATGGCCCTACAGCTTAGAACCTCTGAATCTGAGTCTTTTCAAAGTAGTCAGTAAATATGAGGTTTCCAGCCCATAAAAGTCATTTGTGGTTATAGGAATTAAAACATTTAACCTGCAGAAGATGAGGGCTCAGATCTGTGGGTATTTTTAATGACTAGATTAATGTCAAAAGTAGGTTTATAGGCAGAGGTTGCCTGAAAAGGGTTGGTTCAGCTGTGTCCAACTGGAGAGTTCTACAGTGTAGACAGTTATTTACATGTTTGAACTCTCGGTGTGAGAGAGTGCATGCAAATCCTACTGCCTTCTGCTACCACCTTCAAGCTCAGCTTTGGAAAGAAAATGGTTAAAATGCCTAGGATTACAAACCAGTCACCTGGAGTGTGACAGTTAAGTCATTTTTTATTTATTTTTTTGGTCACAGATGACTTGAGAATCTTTATTCGGCTGACAAGGAAATGATAGCTGAGAGCTTCACTATCCATCCAGCTCAGTGCTGTAAGGGTTTGGGCAGACCGAGGGTGCGACTCTTCTGCCCTTGGTTGTGCCGCTGCTTCCCCCCTCACCAGGTTCGCTTCCCCCCTCACCAGGTTCAGAAGGCATCTGGATACACAGGTTGCTCAGACACTAGGGATTTACTGAGCTCCTTCCATGACTCAAGCATCGGGCTCAGCTCTGGGCACTTTCAGGAACATTAATAATTACTGGGTGGAGAGTTTTAGAAAGGAAAGGTTTTCTCCACCTTCCTGCAAGATATGAGTGCAGCATGGTACTAGAAATTCTTAAAGTCCTAGTACTGGCACCAACATACCCCCAAATAAAAACTGTGGGGCAAGAGTACGAGAATGTGGTACATCTACGGTTTCTCAGCTCACATGTCTTCACCAATTAACAAAAGAAAAAAAAAGCCACCTTGAAATAGGGAGTCAAAATATTGCAGTGCTCAGCTGTATTAAAAAAATTTGTTTTAAGAGGAAAAAAAGTTCATGAAAAAGTGTTGAGGCCCTAAGATAACCTACAAGGTTGTTAAGTTCGAAGTTCTAAACTCTGAGTTGGCCGCCATGGTGCAGAAGGTGCCCCCCCACCCCCCAGAGGGCTGGGACAGTAGCCACGTTGTTCCTGCCCCCAGGAGCAGCACAGGAGCTGTGGGTGCAGAGGGTGGTGCTCAGGAAGGGCCCCAGGCTAGAAAGGAAAAACCCGAGGGAAGTTCTCGAGTCCAGGCGCTGGTGGCTTACCCATAACCGAGCAGTTGATGCGCTGGGACCCGCTGGCACCCACTTGGAAGACCCAGGTGCCCAGCAGCTCAGGATAGGTGCAGTTGGCAGGTGTGTCGCTGCGCACGGTGAGGACGCCGGCGAGGACCAGCAGGAGGGTGGCAAGCAGCGAGCGGGGCCAGGGACACATGCTGGCCGGACCGGGGACAGGCGAGGAAGACAAGCAGGAACTAGAGGCCAGGGAGATGACCCAGGGTCTCGCCCGCCTTCAAATAGCCAGGAGGCCCGGAAACCCGGGCTGAGGGAGGCGGGCTCTCCGCAGGTGGGGGCTCCGGGGAGCTCCCTCCGCTCCCCACCTGGCCCTGCGGGACCCTATACTCAAGAAAGCTGGAGACTGATTCTACTGCTAGGGAACCTTTCAAAATCTGGCAGGGCCAGGGTGATTAAAAGGGAATTTAGGAGTCATAAGCCAGTCCGCAGGCGACCCAGACCTTGCTCCTTGGACCGAAGTGGAGAGAAGCGGAGAGGAGGGAGGAGGAGGGGGAGATGGGGAGAGACTGAGAGGACGTGGGGGTGGGGAAAGCAGAGGTGATAAAAAGACCGAGGGAGGGAGGGCAGGATCCTAGGAGTGCAGTCTCTCCAGCTCCCCACCGCCTTCCTCCCTGGCCACACGCCACACACACCCTGGCCCTTGAGTCTTCTCCCTCTGGTCCAGTCACTTCATTACTGACTCTGGTTTTATTTTCTTCCAAAAAACTTTACTTGCTAACCCCAGCCACACTAGTTGTTTGAGAACTTCTCTTCTTTCCATTTCCCGAAGGTCTCTGCCTTTGTATTTGCTTGGTTTGGTTCGGTTTCCGGTTTTGTGCCAGTTTGCCCACAGAACTCAGCTGTACAAGAAGTGCACACTTGTAGTTTTTTAGTATTTCCTGTGTGTGTGAGTGTGCCTAGAAATTTATGGGATTTAATTACACAAGGTGAAAACATGTACACAAGTTCAAATTTTTCTCTCTGCCCCCTTAGATTCTGGTTTTATTTATTTTAAATTTATTTATTTATTCGTCTATTTGTGTGATTTTCAGGCTGGGTCTGAGACTTGAACTGTAGTGGGCCATGTGGGAGTCCAGGGCCTCAAGCATCACACCACCTGTGGGCTCCTAGATTCTAGTTTTAAAACACTCAGGAAGTTAGGGCCGGTCAGGTGGCATGGTGGTTAAGGCGCCAGACTACCATGTGGTTTACTGTGGTTTAAGTCCTGGACCTGGTGGCTTGCCTTTTTCCTTTGCTTCTCTCTCTCTCTCCAGTCAAATTAAAAAATAATAATAGTAAATAAAACTGAAGGGATAATTATTTAAAAACAGGAAGTTAAAATACTCTTTAATGTAAGCACAAACTGCAAAGGCAAGGGTGGGGCCAACACCTTATACACACACACACACATACACACACACACACACACACACCAGCTCCCAGAGATGACACTGCTCAACCTCATCCATTTTACAAAAGAAAAAGAGGAGGCTTAGAGAGGAAGTGCTTGCCCAGCATGAGAAAGGGAACTGATGCTAGGAGCCTGGTCTGATGGGCAGGTCCAGTGGGCCTGTCTGATGCCTGTGCTTATTAGGCGGCTCTATTACCAAGTGCCTCCTTGCTTGGTTTAGGTACCACCCTTTCCAGGAGAGTGGCTCTGACTTTCCTGCTGTTGGAGTTGGGGCTCCTTCCTCCCACTGAGATCACTAACATCAGGCCCTGTGGACACAGCAGTGAATGAGACAGACTTGATGTGACCCTGCCCTCTCAGGCAAATGCACAATGCCCTCATCACACTGGTCACTACTCATGCATGTTTTATGTCCGTCGTGTCCATGAGATTATGAACATTCAACGGGAGCAAGTTCAAATTATTCACCTCTGTCCTCTTACATTCTGGTTTTTAAATACTCAGGAAGTGTTCTTAGATGTTAAAATAGTGTTATAATAGGTACACTTAATGGCTTTATCTTAGTTTCTAAGCCCAAAAGGCAGTCTTCATGAAGCAAAAGGAGTTGCCCTTGAAAGCTCAGAGATGAAAATGCTCTGTAATGTGGGGAGGGCGGGGCCAACACTTTACTTTCAGGTTTCATAGACCTTTTTAGGGTTGAAAACTGACCTCATGCAGTTAAGCTAACATACTCAGTATACAGACAGTAACGTGCTCTCCCAATCTTTGGAAAACTGTGTCATTCATTATTAGAATACTAAACATTTGGGGGCCAGAGGTGGAATGGTGGTTAGGATGCTAGACTCACACATGGCCAGTTGCAGTTTAAGTCCCAGACCTGGCAGCTTTCTCCTTCTCTCTCTGGTGAGCACACTTGTCTTATAGCAAATTACAAAAATAATAATAAATAAAACCTAAATAAAATATTTTAAAATAAATAAGATATTAATAATTTTTGCTAGGTTTCAATATCGACACACCAAATGATCAAGGTGGAAATTTCTTACGAGGGCATCAAAGCAGCACATTTAATTATAAAGAAAGTTTTTAATGGTCTGCCTCTTTTAATGAATAAACAGAACAGGATCTTGGAGACCTCTTAGTCTAATGGGTACATTTTCATATTTGGAAATAAAGATCCAGGGCGTCAAATCACTTGCTAAACGTCATATTGCCAGTTAGTAAGGTTCAGGATTAAAATTCTGGTACCTCGATGTCTAGTTCAGTTCTTCCTAGCAGTGTAATAATCCCCAAACTGTTTTCCTCCAAAATTAAATACTAGTCCTGTGTTCGTTAATTGGGTGAAGGGAGGAGGGAAAATGATTCTCAAACTATTCTGACCTAATGTTTTATTTTTATAACTAATATTTTATAGATACCCTTTCTTATTCTGAAATGAATGCATATACACTTTAAACCACTCAACACACTTTTAAAAAAAGATTAAAAATAATACCAAATATAGTATAAAGAAGTAAAATGAATTTTTAACAATAAATTTCTAATACAGAACTTATTTTCCATCATGTAAATGCCCAAATAGGAATGTACTGGAAAGCATAACCAGACATATAGATGCTTACTCTTCATGTCTTATGTAAAATAGTAGACTCATGGTCAAAGTGACAGTCACCTTTTTTATAGAGAACAGAAATTATTTCAGGTGAGTTATACAGTTTAGATACCTTGTCCATGGCCACTGAAACACTATTCCAGACAGTGATGTAAGAAACAAGTTCCCAGGAGGACAAATACAGTTGTCTTGCTGTTGAAGATTTATCTAGAGGTTGCATTCCTGATAATTCAGTATATATTAAAATGGTATGGTATACAAGCAAGTTTATATCCAGCCCTTTCTCACATAGTTATAAGCGGGTTTATGAAGGGCCACACTGTTTAGCAGAGGCTCTCAAAACAGCCTCAGCAGCTCCTTGGAATGTGTCGGATATGCAAATTTCTGAGCCCTATCCCATTCCAGCATCTGGGTAGGTCCCAACAATTTTGAGTTTTAACAATCACCTTTCAGAGGATCCCAATACAAGCTAAAGTTTGAGGCTCACTGATTTACAAATGAGTGGCAAGGACTCAGTCCCACTGCTTCTGTTCCAGTCTGACTCTTGAGAGCAACTGCTCAATCTTGAGGAAGTCATAAATCCTTTTTGTGCCTTTATTTACTCATCTATAAAATGTGCATGATTATATTCCCTATTACTGCCTCCTCTGTTTGTCCTTTTTATTTCCAGTCAGCTGTATTTTTTTTTTTTTTTAATGCCAGAGGATGCATGTGCAAGTGCAAGAGACATACAAACAGAGGGAACTCCCAACAAGGCCTGGTCATGTTGCAATTCTGTTTCCTCCAATTCTTCACCCTCTCAGGTTCCTAGGCATACTCATACATGCTCACTGGGCTTGTAAACTTCCGGTACTAGGACTCAAACCCTGGTTGACCATGTGTGATCTGGCTTTTCCTGCACAGTGCTTAACAATTGCACTGAAGGGCTGGCTCTCTCATTTGGTTTTGAGAAGGACTAAATTCAGTAATGCAGATCTCTGCAGAGATCTCATTACATTTACTACTGTGTATATTTACATAAAAAAAAAGTTTTGGGGCCATCAGGTGGCGTGGAGGTTAGGGTGCTGGATTGCACATGAGCAAATGTTTGGTTTGAGTCTCAGACCTGGCAGCTTGAAAATCACTTTGGGGGACCAGCAGTTGGTGTAATGGCTATGTCACTGGACTCCCATGTAGTCAACCAGGGTTTGAGTCTTGGACCCCGTGGCTTAAACTCAGGCTGAGCGTGTGTGTGTGTGTGCATGCCCAAGGTCCTGAGACGAAAATGGAAGAGAAGGGATTGCGGCGTGGCCATCCCCTTTGGGGGGTGATTTCTTGCTTTCTATCTCTCTCTGTCTTTCTGGCAAGTGCACGTGCCCTATAGCAAAAAACTCTGGGGGAAAAAACAGCATAGCGATCCTCCCTGCAGGGTGATTTCTCTGTCTCTGTCCTTCTGGCAAGTGCACAAACCCTATAGCAAAAAAACAAACAAAAACCATTTCTGGTTAGACTGTAGGTACTGAATCTTGTTCTTTGTGATCTAGAACCCTGAATAATTTCTGACACTTGACAAGTGCTCAAATATTTGTTGAATAAATGAATAACATGGTGGATATAAATTTATGTATTTTTCATGGTATTTGGTAAGGAGCATCATGATTTCTATGTTCTCTGCCTTGTGAATAAATTTGAAAAGCATTATCTTGGAATATATATTAGAACAAAGAAAGGTTTTAAATATAGGGAAATAACTTGGGAACCAGCAGTTAGTGTAATGGCTATGTCTCTGGACTCCCACATAGTCGACCGTGGTTCGCGTTCCGGACCCGGTGGCTTAAAACTCACGCCGGGCGCGTGTGCGTGGGTGCCCAAGATCCCGAGAGGAGACTGGAGGAGAAGGGATGGTGGCGTGGCCATCCCCCCTGGGGGGGAGTGATTTCTCACTTTCTGTCTCTCTGTCTCTCTCTGTCTGTCTGGCGAGCACACGCGCCCTATAGCAAAAAAAAAAAAAACCTCTCCAAAAAAAAAAAAAGAAATATAGGGAAATAATTTGACATACAATATTGTACAATGCTATTTGGCATTATGCATACTTCTGGTAAAATGCAAAATACTAAATAAAATTATTATGGTTATTATTTTACCAAGAAAATAAACATATTATACCATTGAATTCTCACATGATTGTTTGGGGAAGATATGACATAATTTTTATTTTATCTCTGATAAAGCTTTGGCTTGAATAATGTACTAGGGAGTAATGCTTTGAGATAAA